AACTTCAGGCTACAGCATGTCCAGAGACTGGTGTGGAGCAGATGACCGAAGACATTCCAGACTGCCACAGGACACGTGTGCCATGGATGATTTAATTAACAAAACCTCTCCAGTACATCAACCTTGTGCACATGACTCCAGTGATATTGTGACCAATAAAGGACAGCTACCAGTCCGGCCCGTTTCACCGCAGGCCCGTTTACCAAAGAATTGCGAGACTGACTTGCAAAAAAGAGCTACCCCAGTGACACCTGCCCCTGTTTCAAGCCCCCAGGTTCTCTGTCAAATGATCCCTTTAAATGGACAAAGCAGTATGATCAATGCCTATGTCAAGCCTTCAACCCCAACAGTCTCGACTCCCATGAAACCTATTTTACCACAGGCAGCCCCGCTCCCTCAGCCTGTACTCATGGGGCCTTCTGTGCCTCAGGGGACCGTCATGCTGGTTCTTCCACAGACTGCTGTAACACAGACACCACAGTGCCCGCAAACAGTGATGACTGTTGGGAACACCAAGTTACTGCCCCTTGCTCCTGCTCCTGTGTTCATCGCTTCCGGTCAAAGCTGCACCCCCCAGATGGACTTTTCTAGACGGAGGAATTATGTTTGCAGTTTCCCTGGGTGCAAGAAAACCTATTTCAAAAGTTCACACCTCAAAGCCCACCTTCGCACCCACACTGGTGTGTACAACAGGGCGGGTTCTTTGTCACTCCAGCGCTGGCTGGTGTTGGGGTGCTGAAATTCACACTTTTTTGGGGGAGGAGGCAGGAAAGGGAAGAGGCAGGTGATGGGGAAGCTTGTGCTCGTCTCAGAGAAGGGAGGAATGTTCATTCTCCGTGGGGAAGCAAAACAAGACAGACTTTGTTCTGAGACCTCAGCTGACCCCATAGTGTTAGTTGAATTTCACATGCTTTAGTTGGAGCGAAGCTTTGCTGTCTGTGTGTGTTTAGATTTGAGTGGAATCTTGCCATCTGGACTAGACTGAAATGAATTGTGCAAGTCCCTTTTTTTGGGGCATGGAAAGGTCTGATGTAAGCAAACCATAGTACAAGTGGTTGGTCTTAATTGTTACATGAATAAAAGAGAAAAGCGAAAGTCAGAAACTGCGTATTTTTCCAGACTTTTGTCTAGGCTCAATGGGATTGCATTAAGGTTTTGGGCTACTGTGTTAAGAAGTAGAACGTCTGCAGGAATGTAGCATTTTATTTGTTACAGAAAGAGAATTTTAAAGGTAACTGAAAATTAATTGTAATTAATGTGAGCTGACTTGCTCCATAAAATCTGGTTAGTGTGGAGACAGTATAAATGTGTTTTGCTTATCCTTTTTCTAGCTCCAAGATCCTGTTAAGTTAAAACTAACTTTGAGTTCTCAAAAGGGACTATTTTTGATGTTGAGGGACAGGCGTAGTGGGAGATTGGTACAGAATAGCTCATTCAAAAGTTTGTCTAATTTTGTTTTCCCTTGGCTTTTTTCCCCCGCCCTGCCTTGCCCCACAGACACTGTAGTTTATTGGATGTCAGCTTCCATGGCAGGATTTGCATTAGTTTGCCAGCTTGTCTTTACCATTCCTTTAGGGAGAAAGCTTAAACCCTGTTTGAAGCTGATAATCCTTGTAAACCAGAGCCCAGAGGTAGAGGCTGCTTCTACTTATGGCTTGAGACAAAGTGCTGCAGGCTGCTGAATTAACCTAGCACTACAGGATAAACATAGACTAGCAACAAGTGTCTTGCTTTGAGCACGTGCTGCTGCTGATCCATAAGGAAGCTCTGTGTCCTTGTATCGTGATTAAGGCTAGGACTCAGTGGGAGGTCAAGCACACTGACCCGCCCCTAACCAGTCCACCTTAGAGGATCAGGAGGCAGCATAGTTTAGCTTTCTCTTCCCACTTCTGTCCTGCTCACGGAGTAGTTAGGTGGTATCGTCCATAGCAGACATAGACTCTCTCTTTTAACTCTCACTCTCTTTTTTTCTCTCTCACTTTACTCTCAATATCTGAAATAACAACACTTCTGTGGTTCTGCCTTTCTTCTGGACACTTTTGTTCTGCTCCGAAGTGTTACCATACATTTGGGTCATGTGGTAGATGTTTATCTTGAGCTTTATGGGGGTTGTAGGCGGTGGATCACATTGTTTAGGATAGGCTTGGTATTAAGCAGTCGTTCAGGATGAGCAGAAGCTGACGTGGACAGCCTTCCTCACTGCTGCCATTCCCGGGCGTGCAGAGCTCCCCTAGCTGCCTGCTGGACCTCCAGCTGCATGGGGGTGGCAGAACAGGCTGTTCCTCAGTAGCGCTCACTGGGGTGGTGTGTTTGTGTGTATGGCTGGATCACTGGAGCTGCAGGACTCCAAGGCTCGATTCCAGGCTTCCTGTTTGCCCGCAGTATTTGCTGATGACATGCAGCAGCCGTAGAGGCGTGCTCACACGGAGTAGAGGCAGGAGTTGGCTTCTAGTTCAGCCAGCAGATAAGGTAGCTTTAAACCTAGTTTAAAGAAAAAGGTGAAGAATCTTGGCTAATTGGGGTTTTGGATAATTGAAAAAAATAGACTCGATTAAATAACCTTTAAAGAGGTATGAGGGAATAAATAGAAATCTATGGTTTTTCTCTGGAACGCTACTTGAGCTTAAGCTAATGTTGACGGCACACATGAGCAGTTCTTTGGTATTCATCAGTTTTTGCAAGGCAGGATTTAAGTTAGTTCTTTGATAAAACTGTAACACAGCTTCTCAGAAGTAAGTTATGCTTCTTTTATGTCCTGCAGGAGAAAAGCCTTTCAGCTGCAACTGGGAAGGCTGTGACAAGAAGTTTGCCCGCTCAGATGAACTGTCACGCCACCGTAGAACTCACACGGGAGAGAAGAAGTTTGCTTGTCCTGTGTGTGAGCGTCGCTTCATGCGCAGCGATCACTTGACAAAGCACACCCGCCGCCATATGACCACAAAGAAGATCCCCAGCTGGCAGGCAGAGGTTGGCAAACTCAACAGAATTGCCACAACAGAGAAACCGAAAAGCAGCAGTGCTCTGAGTATGCTCATCCCCGTGCCATCGTCTGTCTGTCAGGGCTAGTGTGAGGAAGCACCTTCTCTACAAACTTTCTGAAGATCAGGAAGAGCTCTGACGGCTACAACAAAACTGACAATGGCTTTTCCATGGCCCTGTTTGTGCATACTTTAGTTTCCTTTAGGTCCTCTGTTAATAATGCTATGTGAGAAATCTTATCATATCTTTCCTCATCCCTCCCCTATTTGTTGTTTTCCATACTTGGGCAAATGCAATCACCAGCACTTCAAGAAAGCAGAACTCTTTGGAAATGATTTTGGCAATAGGTTGAAAAAGTCACTTGTAATGCTTGCTGTTAATATTGTGATGGACAGTAAAACAGGGTGATTTTTAATTTTTATACTAGTATTTTCTATACCAAATATATTTTGTATTTATTGATTTTGGTCTTGATATGCAGGCAGGGTACTTGACCTGCATTAGTAGGGCTGTGCAGGATGAGACCCAGAGTTTTGGAAACTCCTTTTCAGTAAAGAATTGCATTCAGAGCGGTTTGTAAACACATAATCTTTGATAACTCATGGTGGTTGGGATTTTCATGCTTGCAGATCCTGATCCTGCAATGGTCACTTTGGATGTTTGAGATGTAAGCATGTCATCATTTTTAAAACAAACCAAACCAGAATGACTTCCTTTTAGAGAAGAAGTGTTGAAATCCTCAACATTTTATAAATTCATACCCTTTGCAAATGGAAGCCGTTGTGACTTTTGGTAGAAGTTTGGCATACGGGGCATTGCTGAGTCCACACTCCACGGGAGCAAAGTTTGGAAGAGCCAGACTGCTCTGATGGAGGTAGAAGCACAAACACTCTTCAGAAGCTTTGACACTAAAAATTATGCTTTACTTTCAGTCCTACTAAACCAGCATATCAAAGTCTACAGAAAAATGCAAAAATGGCAAGATAACCCCTGAATAATTAGCTGTTTCTCTTTATATTTTTTCTGAGTACAGGAGAAATAGAAAATTAAGGGTTTTTATGTATTGTGAATGCTTGTGCACCTTAGGAAATTATTTGTTCAAGGCTTTCATTTACCTGTATCAAAACATCAGAGGAAGTACTAATCATGTCTTAAGAAATAGCCACCATGTCAACTTGATGATGCTCTTCATGTGGCCTTATACTTCTCCACAGTACTTTGTATAAAATCACCCTTTTCTATTAAATGAAATACTTTCCCTGTTGAATGGATTTTCTTTTACACCAAGTGTAAATATGGCTGAGAAGTGGAATCGCTGGCTGCTGGAGTGCTGTGTTGTAATGGCATGGTATAAGTAATAAAACGAAATGCCCGTGGCACAATCGGACTGCTCAGTTCCCGTGGTGTGGGAGGAAGTGCGTGCGTATCGTAGCAGAGCTGACAGTAGAGCTTTTGTGCTGTCAAGCACCAGGTGTTGTTTTTTTTTCAGACAACTCACCTGCTGGATGAAACATTTCTGTAGTTTTTATTCCTTCTGGACTCTTCTCCCTTCAGCCACTCCCATACTGGCGCTTAGTTGAGCACTGAGGAGGACTGTTTTTCCTGGATGTGTAAAGCACTATCTCTTGCACGGCTTTTGTTCTAAAATCCTGGCCTCGCTTCTCGGTGCGGGCAAAGCACGGTTCTCATCTATGTAAGTGCAGACTTGCTGATCTCAGCTAGCCCTCCCCTGAAATCGGCAGAGACCTGTTTCAGTTGAAAGCAGAATATGTCATTATTTTTACACTGAAGTCTATGGTTATAATTACCAGGAACAAGTTTTCAAACTGCACTAGATTGGAGTATTGTGCTAAGTGTACTAAAGGTTTTGTGCCTGATCTTTTACAATGTCCATACCCTGTTCGCTCACTGCAAGCTGTAGCCCCCCTGACCGTACCGTACGTGCTGGTGGGGCTGTGTGTATATGCAAACTCGCTTTGTGCTCTCCGAAAGGCTCAGCTGAAACCCCTCTTCCTGGTGAATGATGCTTGTACTGTTGCTGTTTTGTGTTGATACTCGGTTTTCCAAATTCATGTGGTGAAGAAAAAGAAATTGCTGCTCTTTTTTTTTTTTTGTCTTTTTTTTTTTTTTCTCAGAAGTCCTTTAGAACAGGAAGTTTGACTTTTGGATGCCATTTTAAGATGCTTTGAACTGGGGGGAAGATCATCCCCTCTCAGTCCAGTAGCCAATTTAGTACTACTATTTTTTTTTTTTTTTTTGTGAGTAACGATTTATGGTCTTCATCTGAGCAAAACAGTTTGGAAACTTGTGTCATAATTTAGTAAACTGTCATGTTAGTTTGTCGCATCGTGGCAGGGGGTGGGAAGTGATGGAGTGGCGAATACGGAATTTCAAAAAGCGTGTGTCACGGTGTGGAAAAGCGACGGCCCCCTCTTTGTTAGTTTTGCCTGGCCTGCGAGGTGCGAGGTGTGCGCTGCCTCCGGCCACCTGTGCCCGGGACGTGCGGCTCTTTCTCTTGTGGCTGTGTGTGAATAGCTGAGCCGCAGTGTGACTTTTGCTCTTTCTCTTTCTTCCTGCTGCGTAAGGGTTACTTACGGATTAAGCATGGCTGGGGTAGCTGCTCTCTGCACTTTACTGCCTGAACTTGATGGTTCAGTCTTTTTATTTTGAGCCTATATTTTAAAGAAATGGAATCATGTTTTTGTACCTGTTTCTAACTTTTATTAAATAAAAAGTATGTAATCTGACTGGTTATAAATCATAAAAATACTGTGAATTTCCAGGTTTCATACACGTCCATTCCAGAACTATCTGGAACCATCTGGATTAGGTTATATACCTAGGCCAGTGGAAGACCTTGGGACTCGCTGGTTGACTCGCCTGTAAAGGCAGGACTTTTTTGGATCCTTTGTAAATCAACCAGTGCTTGTCCATTTATAATTTTACATAACATTTCTTGAGTATTTGCTAGAATGCGTACAGCACCGCCAGGGTTTGGGGTGTTTGCGTGCTGTCTGAAAACGAGAGTCTCGGGGTTCGTAACTGTTCTGCTAGCGTGGCCTCCAGAAGCTATCAGCAAAAGGTGATGGTCTGAGCGCTGCTCAGTTACGTGTCGCAAGCTGTGCGTGGCACGAACGCTGGAAATAAAGGAGAGATGAAAATTTGACTCAAAAGATGGCTGCATTAGCCCCGGTTCTTCCTGTACCTGCGCTCTGGCGGGGAGGTGGCTCTGGCAGGCTGGGTGTCACCTCCAGCTCTCGGCTGGGACAGAGGAGTCTTAGTGCCGGTGACAGCAGCAGCAGCAACTACTTTACATTTTTAAGCATCTCTGCTGTTTCGTTCCCTCCGACCAGTTCCCAAATTGCAGCAATGTTCATTTCTAGCAGGGTCACGTTTTAATCAAAGAGAAGGGGAGGAGAGGGTGTAATGACAGCAGCTTTCTGCCGCAGCCTTTCACTGCAAGGTGACTCAGTCTCTGCAGTCGCAGCCTTCGGAGAGCAAACTGAGAGCCGTGACTGAAAGTGTTGTCCGCAGAAGAGCACATCGTTCTTGCAAGTGTGCGGAAGAAGAAAAGAGAAGATCCCGTGGGTGGTCCTGCTTCCACCTCGGGAGAACAATGGGAAGGGAAAGCTTTACTGCACAAACCCTTCAGTCCCTGGGCTCTGCAGGGCTCTGTAACGCGTTTGACTCCCGGGCAAGATGTCCTACCTGTCTGTTCCTACCACTATTTTTCAAGGAAGATTTTTCTGAGCATCGTCATATCCTAAACAATACCTGTGATTCTTTTGCTATTTTTTATATTGTCTCCCTCGCTTTGCTTATGTGAAATGCGACTATGGATTTCACAGATCCGTGCTCAGCTTTCTGTTTTTTCTTAAAACCAAGCTGTGGCCTGAGCCGTTACGCGCAGCCCCGAGGTGCGGTCGGTACGCATCCTGACGGGGCTGGAGTCTGGAGCAGCTTCATCCTGTGGGAGACAAGAGCTCCCACGTGAGGAAGCCTTCCCAGCTGCTGTCCTAACATGGGCATCGTGCGGGCAAAAGTCTTTTTATCTTGTAGCCATTCTAAATCCATGAAAACTAATAATTTTCTAAAGAAGAACTCATGTGCGCTCAGACGTGTCCATTGGTTTAATGCTACATTGTGCAGTTAGACCAGCGTTGCTTTTCTGTGGTCATACAGCCAAACCTTCAGCTTAGCGGCAGCTTGCCTCTTGCTCGCAAACCGATGAGCACCGATGCGCTTGCGGTTAGATGCTGGAAGCATGAATCTGTTCTGAAGCTGCGGTGCTGGGTGGCCAGAGGTGGCCGGCGCTGCTGGGTGGCTGCATGCCCGATGTGGTCCTCTGGTTTAGGCTACAGCCCTGGCTAACCCCCTGCTTCCAGCTGCGAAAGCCGTGCTCAGCATCCTGTGAGCGATAAAGGTGGCACTTCATCTGCCGTCCTTTGTGAGCCAAGTCCTGCCTCGGGCTCGCATCTGACTTGAGTTCATCTGCTGGGATAAATCTTCTAACCGGTTTTGAAGTTTAATCTGTGAACCCATCTGGCTGTTGACCTTCTGTTCATGTCTGGCAAGGCAGCTTCAGGCAAGCAGGCTATAGCCACAAAAAGGCAAACATCTTCCATGCGTACAGAAGGAGTAAATCATGACTCAAAACCCGGCAACCTACAGGCTAAGGAAACGGCGAGGCAGTTCAGGAGGATGCCGCAAAGCCTCAGCCACATCTGCTCGCAGTCCACACAGCCCGTGGGATTACCTTCCCTGCAGCGAGCAGGTTAGCACCGGGGCAATTTCATCCTCTGTCAGACGCAGCCTTCCTCAATTTCTGCTTCAGTCTTTGGGTGCAGGAGGAGGAATTCGGGGGGCCTTCACATCCTGGCGTGTGCAGAAGGCCAATGCGCACATCTTGCAGTGCAGAAAACTTGAGGAAGCTGGTGCATACTCTTCCTGGGAAAGGTTTTCCTAGGTGGGAAGAGTACCTTAGGTTTCATTTTCTCCCTTGTGATCACACACTCCCAGGTGTCTCTGGAGTTCAGAGTGATTTCCGTTGGTTATCGTCCAGATAAACCCACCTCACCCTGTGCAAATAATTGCCATGTCCTGTGTCCAGAGCTGAGGGAGAAAAAAAACCTGTTGTGGATGCAGTCTGTGCCAGGCAGCTGGTGTTCCAGCTCCCCTGCCAAGAGCGGTGGGGAGCTCCACC